CCCCGGCAGGGGGGGCGGGGGCCGGCCCCGGGGTCCGGCCCGCGGCTGGCGGCTTCAGGCCGGGCCCAGGAGGGCCTCCGCGGCCGGTTGTCGGTCAGCCCGCCTGGCCGCGGAGCGGTGCCTGAGGGGAGCGGCGCTGAGGGGGCAGGCTGGAGCCCGGGGCCTACGGAGGCAGGAGAGGGGTCCTCGGTTTGCCTCTCCCTTAACCTCTTACCTGCTCGCCGGCCCATGTTGTTACTTGCCCCTAACGAAGCTGGGGTTGTACGTTTTGTCTTAGCGTCTGTAGCCAAGTGGCTCCAGCACATCTGGCTTTTAAAATTGGGGCTATTGATGCTTTCACTGTAGGTTTTAAAAGGAAGAACTATGGGAAGGGAACAGCTTCTTGGATGGGGAAGTCCACAGCACTGTTCTTGCGGTGTTTACGGTGTTGCTGGGTGACTTTGAGCAAGTCCCGTCACCGCCGGGTCCCTGTTTCTCCAGCTGTGACATGGAACTAAAGGTGGCTTCTCTCTACAGCGCCGTGAGAGGGAGGGCGCGGGATAAAACCCAGCGATGGTGTAGCTGAAACACTCGTGTGAGACTTCAGCGTAACTATAACACCTTTAACGATGTCACGTGCTGGCAGTGAATCCACTTACAAACCACTGTAAGAGCATAGGATGGTACTCATTAAGTAACATTTTTTTTTTTTTTTCATAGGTTGGAGCAGCTTTGCCTGTTGATGTCTTAACATATGAGGAAAAAACCCTGTCTGCCATATTAAGAGTTATTAGCAGGTAAGGTACAGTACGTACACATTTCAGATACTGCCATGAAAGTATTTTTCATAAGAAAACAGAACTCTTAAGCTAAGAACGGTCTCTGAAGAATTAAGCCTAACTTGCATACAGCATGCAGAAAATAAATAAAAATTCACTAAGATTTCGTAACCTACACGCATCAGTACATTATTCCTGCTTTAAAACAGAAAGCAGGAACTAAGCACCATTGAAATGTGTGGCTTTAAATCTCTTCCTATAGTAAAGATGAGAATGGTTACTGGATTTAAATGGTGAAGACAACTGCAGGTGGTTTAGGGGAAGAAGGAACTTAAATGCACAGAGAGAACAAGAACAGGGCCGGTAAAGTGAACCCGAAAAGGTTGCAGTACGTAGCTCTGTATGCCAAGGACAAGAGACTGCGGGCACTGCAATGACCCTTCAGGGCATAGTGTTGCTACTAGAACTCATTGATGCTATTACCTGCTGTTAAACTCAGCTAAGGTTTCGTTACTCTTTACGTAATTTGTTTTTATTTAAGATGTTTATGCTGCAGGAAAACTGAGAAAAACAAATTTTATTAATATATTTTGTTTTCTTTTTACTTAGCGGCCTCGTCAAGCTGTGGAGTGCTCTAACATTGCTGGGCTTCTACCAGAACAGGAGGTGTGCCTTTCGAGTGCTGCAGGTAAAGCCCGCGGGGGCTGGACGACTTCCCCCAAATGTCAGTTCTCGCTCTAAGGTTGTCTGGCTAGCTGAGCACACGGCCTCTTCATAGAAAGATGGCCTAGATGCAAAAACATCTTGGTTTGGGAGTGAAATGCTTTTCAGTGCAGGTGTGCAGGCCTGTGTTTAAGCAATTCTCATCTTATAATGAATCTTGAAAATGTGCTGGTAGTAGCTGTCTCATTACTTTATGGTTTCATTCCAATGAGGAGTCCTGATCTCATTAATACCTCTGCAAGAAAATAATTTCTGGAAAGTGTTGTTCTTGGCCCTCACCTTGGTCCAATCTTTTATTTCCCCTGCCCCATTTCTTCCCTTTCTAATACTCACTGTCGACTGACCTCGTTTAAAAATGCACGCGTGAACATGCACTTCCAGAGCTTATTTTTTTCCAGAGGATGCTGCTGAATAAAATGACTTGCAAGAATTCTTTGTCTCTGAAGCCATGGCTAAACAAAAATCTGCTTGGGCATAGCTCTAAGGTTTTAATCTTTCATGAAAAGGGAAATTTAAGTATTTTCAACTTTGAGTGCATTTGATGGCAATTTTTTTTTAATGCTTTAGTTTGTTTCTTGCTTTTTTTCTTTTTTTCTTCCCCCCAAACTAGACCTCTCCATTTCTTCTTGCGTTATCTGGCAACAGTAGAGAACTAGTCTTGGACTGAATGCGGTTGTTGGTTTGGTTGTACGAAGCAGAAGTTGCTTGAGATGTTGCAGCCCTTCAGGCGTGGAATTTCTGGAGGGGATTTCCGACAAAGAGCCTTGACAAAGCTAACAATTATCAGCTCCCTGCTCGGACGTCCCTTCCTGCAGAGTTTACATGTAAAAGTTGGAGACAAAGCTGAACTTACCAAAGCTTTTACACAGAATGATGTTGCTACTTTCTCTGATTTAACAGGTGACACAAATCCTTTGCATTTAAATGAAGATTTTGCAAAGAAATCTAGGTTTGGGAGAACTATTGTACATGGAGTTTTGATCAATGGACTTATTTCTGCAGTTCTGGGTACTAAAATGCCCGGTCAAGGTTGTGTATTTCTTTCTCAGGAGATCCGATTTCCAGCTCCTTTGTATACTGGTGAAGAAGTCGTAGCTGCAGCAGAAGTTAAACGACTGAAGGGTTCTATTGCGCACATTTCGGTATCATGTAAAGTCAAAGAAAGCGGGAAGACTGTTATGGAAGGGATGGTGAAAGTCATGGTGTCAGACAGTTAGAGCTGTTGATCCTGTGCTAATTTACTATAAAGGTCAGAAACGTATGCTTGGTTTTGACTCTGTTTTTTATGTGACATCACTTAATCCAGTAAATTTGCAACAAAAAACCTTCAGGATGTTTCAAAGGCAGCGCGCAAACTTAATCTTGACAGAACTGCATTAAACTTAGAGCTTTTCCTTTTTCCCTGCGTACTGCCAAGACGAAACCAACAGAAGTAGGTGCTAATTGTGACAGAAGTGGCACGTTTGGACGAGCCTTTGCTCTGCTACAGTGGGAAGCCCGGAGTGGGAGGGCCTGTATCGAGGCTGTTCTTTTCGCCAAAATCGCAGTCCACAGTAGCTACGTTCAGTTCAAACTTGTTTGCTCTTTACACAGTCATTATATTGCTAACAAGCAGCGGTGGGAAGGGACGATGCTCTGTGTTTAACAAGCAGGACAGAAGTGGAGGTATTGACACAGGTGGACTGCAAGATCTGTTGTAATCTCCATGGCAGCTCTAGCTGATGGTGCAGCGTGCTCTTTTGCAATGTTCCAGCTAGTAAAGCCTTCCTTAGCTCTGCAAATAAGTAGTAGTCAGCCTTCGCATAAATGATATGCTCTGCCTGATACAGCTGGAGATGTGGCTCTCATAATACTTTCAAACTGAGATACCGTACAAAACCTGATTATAAACAAACAACAATTTACCTTTAACGATAAATGCCTCTGAAACTTGCCTCCCAGGAGCAGCGAAAGAGGCTTTTAAAAAGCCGTATTGTCACTGCTGGCACTTATTGCCTCTTTATGCTCCTGTGGGCAAGGCAAGCAGGGGCAATTTTGTCAAGTACTAACTCCACGGCTTCTCTCCGCTTGCTTGACTGTGTGAACATGTATTCCCCTTTGCTCACTGAAAGTACCTTGGTTGCTGGTAAAGTAGGCTTTTGGTAAATTCCGTAGTAAATCATCTGGGTTAAATTATTTTAGTGCCAACATAAGATTATTATACACGAAGAAACATTTTTTTCAGGAATGATGAGAAGTAAAAGTGCAGGCTGTCTTCAATTGGTGGCTCATAATTTTCTGGCAAAACATCTCTTATCTCCCCATCTTCTCTGCAGCAGAAGTGCATCCGTAACTTTTCTTGGCTGCAAATAACCTGAGAAGTTGTTTGCTATGAAAAGAGAGTTTGTCCTCAAACTGCGATGAAAGCTACTGGTAAAACAGTTACGGTGGCTGGGTGTGATGTGGTGTTCCTAACTGCAGCTGCACTGTAACAACAAACCCCAGGTGCTGGGGGTTGCATCAGAGGGAGGGGTAATGTTGAACCTGTTTGACTTCGATTTGCCCTCTATTTTCAAAGCACAGGGTTTGGCCTGTTCACAGCACCGGTACTTAGGGGGAACGCTTTCCTTTTCCTTTCCTCTCGCCTGTAGGAGTTGCTTCACTTCCCGTTCCCTTTTCTTCTGCCTTGGGTCACTGCCTGATCGCTGGCTTTTGCCGTACAAAACACTGGTATTTTTCAAAGCAGGCATGTTCCTTCCCTCGTTCCTTGTTCACCTGCCTCCTCTCTAGGTGGGGAGGTGTCATGTCAACGCCTGTTAAAAGGAATCAAACCTGTGTCTGAGCTCCTGGGTCACCGTGGAAGCGGTTTGGAAAGATTGCTGTTCCAGCCCCGAGGTTCAGCCGCTCAACCACAGCGCGCGGCCCGCTTTCCTGTCAGCAGGGAACCGCAGGACGGAGAGCCCAGGCTATTTACAATAACTGTTTGAAGCGTGTGACAAACTCGAGCTCTGCAGCCTTGCTCACAACATCTCGAGGGAGACTAAGCCCTGGGAAAAGACAAAAGGCGATGCAGGCAAGTCTTCCACGGCTGGTGGGTTCCCAGGTGCTAGGTGGTAGTGAAATAAGGAGTTTTCTATGCTGCTACAATGAAAGTTAGGTTGTGGAACGCAATTTAACAACAACTTTAAATCTGTGTTTTGCAAAAAAAACCCGAAAAACTAAAATCTACAACTGGAGTAGAAGATGTTGGGTGCTCAGTGAGTTTTTTAAGCGTCTTTTAACTACAAAAAATCCCCCAAAAGGTGAAGAGCAGCGAGCGCGCCAGCCCTTTAAGCTCCTCTCTCTCTGCGAGGACCGCAGTGCTTCGGGGCTACCGGAGCGGCGCGGCC